GCACCCTGAGTCTCCCTCCTTCCCTGTTCCTGCTCTCCCTGTCCCCCAGAGAGGACAGGCTGTGCCCACCAGGGACTGCTGCCACGGCTGGGCTTCCTGGAGTGCTGCCTGCAGCTGGACCCAGCCTGTCTGACTCAGGGCTGTCCCCAGTGCTCCAGTCCCTGCAAACCTGATGTATTGCACATATATTTTCAAAAGCTCTCTCCTATTTGCTCTGCTTCTGAAGTTACAGCTCTCTCCCACCAAGCACCTTTTCCTCAAGCCCTCCTCTCCATCAGGATTCCAGTAACCACCTTCCCTAAAGCCACTGTCCTTTGGTCTGCAGCTCCAGAGGCTTCTCTTCTGTCTGAAAACAGCTCAGAGATTTAAACCCCTTCCTCCTCCCCACAACAAAGAGAACAAAACCAGCTCCCTTCCTCACCCCCTATCTCCTCCTGCCAGACCCTCTGGAGCAGATCTGGTCAAACAGACTGGCCAGATCAGTTCCCTTCCTGGCTCTGTTTCTGGGAAGTGGATGTGCTGTCCATTGGACAGAGGAAGTGCCAAGCCTTGGCAGGTTCCCTACTTATTTGCAAGACATAAGCTGCTGGCATGGTGTCAGATGTGCATGCAAGAAAGTTGGATGCCATTTAAAACCTACAGTCCTGTTTGTTTCATGCACGGTCAACTTATCCTATATACACTAGTGGCTGGTTTATGCTCAAAGCCATGAATATAAAGGTTTACATCTTCCTTTTACCTCAGTAACCAAAGCTTTTCTGTCACCCATGGAATAGCAGGGGTTTGCTAGCAGGGCTCATTTCCCTCTTTTGCACTTCCTCTCATTGTCTTTTCATCTCTCAACACTCAAGGCAAAGGGGGGATAGGAAGGGGACAGGCAGAATTACAGTCCCAAGGTCCCAGTCACTAAAGGTCCCTGAGTGACAGCACTATACAGTATCAGAAAATGAAGCAATAGAGTTGTGTTGGCCATGTATGTCCTGAGAGAGATTTCATTTCTATTTCTGCTCCTCCTTCTCCTCTTCCACATGCCATCCCTAGGCTGTTACACGTGGAAAAGGTGCAAAACATTCTCCCCCATCCCAGCCCCCTCATGCAGCCCAGAGCACCCCTCATGTTCAAATGCTAAAAAACACAACCCAGCAAGCAGCAGTCCTGCAGCAAACCAGGCCCTGAGCATTGCCTCCTGCACCCCTGCAGCAAAAGCCAGAAGCAGCTCCACTCCGGAAAAGCACTCACAAACCCTTTCCCCCCTTTCCCCTCTGTGAAGAAGAGGAGGGCAGTGGGCACACCAGATGCAGCATGGAAATCCCCTCCACCTTCTGGTAACACTCATGCTTGTGATGGCTGGAAACCTCTGAGCCTTGAGCATCAATAATATGCCTTGTTTTTCCTTCTCTATGTCCTTTCTGGGTCGCTGCACCTCAAAACAAGACAGGGGTTTGTTGCCTTCCTTAGGGGCGGAGCAGGCAGCTGTGGAGGGGGACACAGAGGTGCCACCTCACTTTGTGAGCAGAGCATTCTTAAAGGCTTTCAGCATCTTCCCTCCCATTTCCTATTCCTCATCCCACTCCCAGGACTCTCTGTTGTTCTCCAGCACTCTGCCCCATCACCAGCAAGTGTAAGGCAGCTCCTGAACTGTCACCAGTCCTGACCACACACTCTTTGGCAAAGATCATTGTGTTGGACCCAAAAGTCCAGGAGTCTGGATGTATTGACTCTGTGAGTAACACTGACCTGGTAATACTAAGTTAGAAACATTCAAAGAGAGAAACTAGGATGACTCCTGATAAGAAAGAGAGCCCAGCCAACAGAGAACTGAGGCCACAACACAGGAATCTGGCTCCCAGTCCCAGCAGGAGAAGAAATCTGCTAAGCAGAGCTTTTTTTCCCTGGAAAGCTTTTGGATTGTCACTGGGCTCAATCCTGGATTGAAGCCTCAAATATTAAACACAGCCTCCCTGTGCCTGATCTCCAGTTTCTGGAGGCTGTACCTGCAGGGAACTGGTCCCTCAGGACCCCACCCCATGTGGGGCTCAGGTCTGAGAAGCACAGAGCATCTCTGGGGTTTGCATCATCTGTGTGCTGCTGGCCCTGCCAGCCTTTGGGGCCAGCTCAGACAGCTCTCGGGTGCCTAACTCATACCACACATTTGTCAGGCTTTTACTACAACTGTCAGATTCCTGCAGTTCCTGAGTCATCTTCCTCAGCTTCAGAATTTCTTACCCCACAGCCATTTGTTTTCCCTCCAATCTTAATAGGCTTTTTATAACTGCCTCTTTTTCTCCCCACTTTTATCCTTCTGACCACCCTTTACATTGCAATCACAGATATAAAGGGTAAAATTTTAAATATTTTATTGAATCATCAATCACCTGGTTAGGCTCCCCTTGCAAACTGGACCTGCTGATAAGCAGTCTCCATGTGGGAGCTGCAGCCATGCCATGCTGAGATCCACTGACATTCTGCTGCTGCTGTCATAAAGCACAACTTTATGACTTCCATTAAAGCATTTAAAAGATATTTTTGAATAGAATCACACTAGGAAGTGTCATTTTCTCCACTGGCCAAGCTTTAATTCCTGCATTTCAGGTAGACAGAACTACCTGGTCCTACAGACTCCTATTCCTGTACAGACCCATACAGACCATGAACTGCAGCAATTTGGGGAAAACCCATCCCCAGCAGCACTGCTTATGGATGGGGAAACCAGCAGGAGACTGTTCTGCAGGGCAGGGGAGAATATAAGTCTGATTTAACAATTGTGCTAAAACCTTGGTGAGTCCAGGCAGGCCTGGCCCAAACATGTGCATGCATGAACATGAGAGAGGGGGACAGACACATGGGGAAGGGGGGATGCTCTATTCTTATGCTTCAGATTCTGCATAAGACACATTACTGATATAAAAATAACAATAATTACTCTGATGAGGGCTGATCCTGCTTCAGCCAAGTCCAGGCAAAACTTTCCCTGACTTCAGAGTTACTGGGTCAGGCCTGAAGAAATTCACATTTTCATAGTATTGTACAGACATAAATTAGTGAATGAAAGATGTGCATCAGGGTCATCTGCAGGGGATCACTCTGCTCTCCCAAGCAATGGGAATCAAGGAAAAGGGAGGAGAATGCTAGCAGGAAAATAAAAAGATGATTGACTAAAGGGCAATGTAGGTGTCCGTGGGCCTGACACGAAAAAACTCTGTCAGGTAAGAACAAGGTTCTCATCATTACTCTAGTAATGGCAGAATGACCCTAGGGTTAAAGTTTTGCACTTGTGAATTTAACATTTTCATGGCTTTCATTAATATTGTCAGGGAGATTATCAATCATCAGTGATTGCCAAAGTGGCCAATAATTCAGTGGTTTTCACTGGCTCCTTTGGGAAAGTCAGACCTTGCTGTGCAAGGCCAAGTTCCCTTCCTGTACCTTCCTCAGGAATGCCTGTGGATGGAAGCTCCTGGAGACTCAGGGGCTCCCACAAGCACCAAGCTCAGCATTTTCACTGCAACCTTTCCCCCTGCCCAGCCTTTGGAGACCATCACCCTCCAGCAGGATGATGCTCCATGGAACCCCACCTAATCCTCAACTTCATCCTCTGCAAGGAAGGGCACAGGGTGCTTTTTTCTACACTCTGTACATCTTAACAGACATAAAGGGAAGCCTGGTAGAAGCAGCACAGATCAGAGGCTGCCAGCTCACCATTCACTCCTGAACTTCTTAGGAAAGGGGATCATTATCATTTCCCTATTTTTTCCATCCTGAAACATAACAAAGTTAAATGATATCCAGCCTTTCCTGTGCCTTGATGCAGGCTACGGTCACTCAGAGGGCTGGAGTGTGGATCCACTGTCTGGCATAAGGAACAGGGAGAGGGGGAAAGGGTTGAAATTTTAGAATCCTGCAACTGCTTTTCTCTCCAGGCTCAGTAAGGAAGATTCAGTGTGGGGATAACTAGGAACAACCCCTCCTCTGAGGACTGAATCGGCTTACTCTCCTCGAGATCAGATGCCAGCAGTGAGCAGCAGCACTGCCCTATTGCTGATCCCCAAATCCCTCTCTTCCCTCAGCAAGTGCCAATTTGCACAATCTGCCTCCCCAGCTCTGCCTCTGGAGCTGGGACCCCGACCTCCAACCTGGTGAAGCTGCAATGAGCAAACAAACCCCTGCTATTCCCTCCCTCCCTCCCCCAAACACACTGCCAGTTAAATGTCATCTGTGTTCTTTTTCTACAAAAGATATTACAAAACCCCCCTCCCCAGCCCCCCTCCCCAGAAAACATGCTTGCACACACACATCCATGGACACACGTGCCCACACACACACACACACAGATGCTCCACACACACACATTCACACAGGAAAAACAGCTTGCAAACTCCTGAAGGTGGAAAAAGGCATCTTGCAAATGTGCCTTGGTTTTGATAAGTTCCCTCCTCCCCCCCTCCCATAAACCCCACATTGCCCCTTCCCTCCCAAATAATTGCCTCGTCTTCCCCTCCCTTCCCAGCTCTTCCAAAATAAATATTCTTTTTATTTGTTGGTTTAAAAGACTCTTTTAGGCTTGTAAGCAAGAGAGAGGGAGAGAGAGGAAAAGAAAAGAAAAATCTCATAGCATGAGAATGAAACCCCATCATCTCATGAATCCATGAAAGAATTAACATGAAGGGGTTAAGAACAGTGATAGAAGAAAGATTAAAAAATATATAATAGGACTGAAAAGTGAAAGATGAAATTCAGTAGCGAAATGGAAGTGAGGATAGAGCATTAGTGAGCACAGCCAAAGATAACCTATCGCCCCCACCAGTTTTTGACTCAATTTCTTTAAATCTCCCCCCTCTTTTTTTTTTTTTAATTTTCTTGGTTTTGGGGTTTTTTTGTGTGTTTTTTCTTTTTTTTTCTGTCTTTTTTTTCTTTTTTTCTTTCTTTCCTTTTTTTTTTGGTTTTTGTTGTTTTTGTTGGTTTGGATTTTTTTTTTTTGTACAGTGGTGTAAGTCCTTCAGCAGGAAACCAAAATCAAGACAAACACATCCCTCCCTGAAACCAAACCCCCTCCCATACCTTTCTCTCCCTTTACCCCATCCCACACTCCGTGGTTCTACATGTGCTGAAAAGAGAAGAGTAAGGTTAGAATAAATCTAATGAACCATAGGAATAAATGACAATGATAGTAAAGAGTAAAACCCAAACCCAAAAGACCACAACACTCCTGTGTTGTCATTGTCTGAGTGTCTGTCCCTATTATCTCTCTCGGAGGCCGCAGGCATCAATTTACATAGTACAACCAGTAAACAAGGTTGAAGAATCCAAAAGTGATTGGAAAAATGATCCTTGACCACTTGTCAATGGTGCTGACGTCTGTCAGGTCTGGGATTTTGAGCTTCAGCTTGGACGACCGCCGGCGCAGGCGGCAGTTGGCGCGGTTGCGGGCGGCGGCGTGGTGGCTCAGCGGGACGTGGCGGTCCAGGGTGGGGTGGTGGCCAAAGCCATCCCGAGAGGCCAGCGGCTTGCGGAACTGGATTCCTGAGCCTTCGAAGGACATGACAGAGTTTCGAGAGTCGCCCACGCTGCTCATCATGTCCGTGGCCAGCAGCTCGTTGTTCATCTCCAGCGTGCTGAGGAGGATGTTACCGTAAGGGTCAACCTGGGACGGGGAACACAGACACAGAGGGGATGTGGCATTCACATTCCCTGGAAAAATCCCTTAGGCCAGGATTTTTCTCCTGGGAAGCTGAGAAGCCTCAGAGAAAAGGAAAACAATTCTTATCTTGTTTGCTTCTCCTGTGTTTTGCTCCTTTGGAATGAGTTTGGAGATTGTTTACCCATAGATGAGAGGAATAGCAGATTTGTCTTTACAAACAAGTTATAGGTCTGCAGGTAGATAAAACCAGATAAAAGAAACAAGGGGAAGGATTCCACTGATTGATGAATGGAAAAAGATATTTGCCTTTACACATAAACTTTAGGTTTGCTGATAAATGAAATTAGACATTGAAAGATGAAAGAAACAATGGGGAAGGAAAACCCCCTAAATTCTGTAAGAATTAAAAATTAAAAGGGAGGGCTATACATTAGAGGGAAATCTTTGGTATCAGGTGTTCTAGGAAGTTTGTACCTCTCAAGTACCTCAGCTAATGGGGAAAGAGAAAAGGGAAATGTGCCCAGGAAATTGGGATAAAAAGGAGGCTGCGTCCTCCAAAAATGTGAGAGATCCCACGGGAATGCCCCATGGCCTCTTCCTTTATTTGAATAAAGCCGAATAGGACTCCTCTGTCTCCTTTTTGGACATAAACCTCTAGTATTTGTGGATTAATTTTCCTAACAATTGGATTCTGGTGTGAGTTATTTTGACTCTGGCCAATCAGGGCCAAGCTGTGTCAAGACTCTAGAAAGAGTCACGAGTTTTCATTATTATCTTTTTAGCATTAAGTATGCTTTCTGTATTCTTTAGTATTGTATAGTATTCTTTAATATAATATAATATAGTATTATAAAGTAATAAATTAGCCTTTTGAGAACATGGAGTCAGATTCATCATTCCTGCCTTCACTGGGACATTTCACAGCAAATACAATACTGGGTGTCCTGCATACCATTTGGGGTGATTCTGAACAGATTTCTGGGGAGCAATACTGTTAGAAATTACATAACTTATAAAAAAATTAACTTTAGTCATGGGTTGGTTCGCCTTTGCCAAAGGGGGGTGGAAATTGAGGTTTCTCTTCAAAAGGTTCTGTTAATTGAGGGTTTGAGTCTCACTGGGTAAGGCCTCAATCAACAAAAGGAAGTTTCCTAGATTCTGAGAGCTTAATATCTACAGGGTGGAAGTAGCCAGAAGCTACACAGGAGATAGAGAGACATTAACAGATATTAAACCCCTGGCAGGTTCCCAGTCTGGGAAAAGATTGATAAGGGAGCCAAAGAATGAGCACCAAAAATAGCATTGAAGGAATCAATAGCCAATAGGAGATCCAATATTAAGAATTGTGTAATGCAGAACCAAAGAATGAGAATTTCTTTGGGGATTTTTTTTTTAAACATATAAATATGTGAAAATTCTGGTAAAGAATCACATGTGGTTGGACTGATTTCCACTGAACATCCTGGCCTGAATAAAGTAATGCCTGACTTAGAGATAAAATAAAAAATACTTAAAAGATGGTGTTGGGGAGTTCCTTTTCTTCACCAGAGTTTGGTGACTATACCCCTGATGGGGTCATTTGTGAGCTCTGAACATGCTGCATTGAGGGTACATTGAGTACCTCTGCTGCTGGGGTAGAAGGAGCAGCCACCTGTGCTTGCAGCAAATTTTTAGTGGGGGAAGTGTAACTCTGTTGACACAGGAGGACCAAAACCCACAGAGGGACTTTTGGCTACACCTGCGCCATGCAAGAGGAGGGCTCTGATGCGACTGGATGAGGATGATCAAGGCAGAAAAATTCCCAGTAACCACCAGAGAAGGGAAACTGGGGTTCAGTTCTTGTGATGAGCACAAAGAATGCTCTGCAGCTGTTCCAGATTGCAAGGCAAGATGTTTTCTATTACCATCTGTATGGCAAATTACCTTTGTCAAGCGGGCAGTTTGCCTTATCTCTCTCTTTGAGTGACCACATTCACTCCTCCCTTGGGAGGAGGCATCTGCTGATAACAGCTATTGAATGTCACTGCATGGCTGATAAGAACTACAGCATCCCATTGGGAGATGTGAGCCCAGAGGGAGGAGCCAAGCATTCCTACCCAGACATAATCTGGAGATTCTGGAACACCAGCACAGCTTCTCCACTGGATTCCCCAGAGGAACAGCAGCTGCCTCTCCTTCCACTGCATCTTCAGAGGAAGAATACATCCTTCTCTACAGGATCCCTGCTCCAGCAGAGCCACCCCTGACACTGCAGGAGGGCTGAGCCACAACTCCAATGGGACTGCTGCCAACAGCCTGACCCACAGGGTGTCAGGTTGGGTTCTGACTCTGTCAGTGTTGTTCTAGTGAACTGCATTGTTTATTTTATCCTTTTATTTTTTCTTCCCTATTAAAGAACTGTTATTTCCTGCTCCCATATTTTTGCCTGAGAGCCCCTTAATTTAAAATTTATAGCAATTGGGAGGGGTGGGGAGGGTTTACATTCTCCATTTCAGGGGAGGCTCCTGCCTTCCTTAGCAGACTCCTGTCTTTCCAAACCAAGACAGCAGCTCACCCAGTGGAGAGCCTGAATTCTCCTGCCACAAGGAAAGGAGAGGACAAACCTGCTCTCTCACCCTCTTCTCCTCGTAGCGGTGGCGCTCGTTGTTGGCCTTGCTGACACGCTCGCTCTGCTTCTTCTGCTGCCGCGGCCCTCGCCCGAAGAAGATGTAATTGACAAAAGCATACTCCAGGAGGGCCAGGAACACGAAGACGAAGCAGCCCATGAGATAAACATCAATAGCCTTGACATAGGGGATCTTGGGCAGAGTCTCCCGCAGGTGGGTGTTGATGGTTGTCATGGTAAGCACCGTGGTGACCCCTGTGAGGAGAGGGCAGGTGCTCTGTTAGCCACGTGGGATGGTTTCCTGGAATGCTGTTCTCAGCTCCCACATCCCTCCTTCCAGCTGGACAGCCTCAGGAGGGATGGGAGCAGTGCAACTGTCATTATTCTAAGCCCACATGCCCACCACAAATTGCTGCAGAAAATGATCCAGCAGCAAACACTTGGAGAAAGTGTCAAAGCTGAGCATCATCAGCATGATGGGGATCAGCATCCCTGTATCTTCAAGTCCCCCTGATCTTCCCTCCTTCTTTCAGTGTGGTAGGAAACATTCAGTTTTGCTCTTTTTTACCCCCTTCTCCTTTTTTTCTCCTTTATGAACTCATCAAGCTTTACTGTGTGCTACTGAATGTCTCAGCATCCTTGGCATCGTGAGTTTATAAACTGCTGTGTGTTCCCAATGCCATGAATTGGAGAAAGAGTGAAGAGATTTCCTCTTCATGGCATTCTCTTTTTATTGCCTGCCTCGTAGGCTTCTGTCCTTGACCCCATGAGTTCCCACCTTCCTCTCACCAGCTTTACCATTCATTACATCAATTATCACTTGGACACATTCCTCCCATGGTTCTCACACTCTCCTTTTTAGGCCTCCTCACATTTCTTGCATCTTAAAAAAGCATTTTGTGAACACTTTTGTCCCCATCTACTCAGTTCCAAAAGCCTGATTCACTATGATTACTCTCACAGCTTCAGTCCTCTTCTTCAGCTTCTTCTCAGGCTCTTCCCTTCTCTGGACTGTCAGAGCGGCCCCAGACCTGCCTCTTTGACAGTCTTCTGCCAGCTCCAAAAACATAGCAATGAACCTTCACATTTCTTTTGGGGCTGGTAACTCTTCCTCTTCAACCTAGTCTTCCTCTGCTTCTCTAGCTGTTCTTACTACCTTGCTGATCTGCTTTTCTCCTTTTTTCCTCCTCATCTCTCTGTTGGCAGCTCTAATACTCTCCATGACCTTAATTTGCTCCTGTGGTTTCAGCCCCACCTCTACAGTGATGGCTCTCCATGCACCCTGGACCTCTGCTTGTCCTATTTCCCCTTCACCCTCACTCTGCTTTGGTGTCATTCCTGATAAAAGACTGAAAGAACTATTAGCCTTCAGTTGGGTAAACAGAAGGGAGATATATTTATATACGCACACAATATGGTCTATATTTAGGCAGTAGTCTAAATATACAGAAATCTGAGGCAAGGAAAGGGAGGATAGAATGTTCTCCATGTCTCCATTAAGAAGTGGACAAATTGCAATGGAGACTTAGGGCAAAGAGGAGCTCTTTGACTGTGCAAGCAGGTAAATCTGGAGATAAAGTGACCAGAGGAGGCTGGGGAGTTTCTTTTTTTGGAGCTTTTTATGGATAAGTTAGGTCGAGAACTGTCAGGAATAGTTTAGGGAGAGCTGTTGCAGTTCTGATCTACAATGTTCTTTTTCTGTCTTCTCCTTTGAGTCCAGATGTCAGCAGAAACTCAACAGCTGTGCATCTCACCTCCACCCTCTTGCTTCTGCTTCCACAATATCTGCCATGGTCTCTTTTTCTTCTCTCTCTGATTGCACTCCTGTCAATGCAACTTACCCTTTTAATTTACCAAGTTCATCTTCCCTCCCTGTCTCCCTGCTCCAGCCTCTCTGAGCAGCCAAAGCCAAATCACCTCTTTTGTACCTTTGTACAACCCACCCCTCCTCTGAGTCTTCTCAAACTCATTCTCCTAGAGCTGCTTGAAGCCCCCAAGCTTTGCTGTAAGACCCAGCCTATATCTGAGCTGCCTCTCTAAGCCTTGTCCCACTCACAGATCCAGCCCTGCTCCTCCTTACCTCTCCTATTGCCCTGGAACTTCCCCTCATGTTGCACAGCCCCATTCTTGTATACCAGCCATCCCCCCTCTCTTCTGTTCCTCCTTACAAACCCTCATCTGCCATCCACCCCCACTTCCCTTCTGTTGCTTAAAAGACCTCATTTTTCCCCCTCTTATAGGAAAACATTCCTATTTAGGGGAGCATGTGCCAAAGAAGAACTTGGACTTTAACTGCTGTCCCACATTTGCTTTGGCCTTGAAGGTCTTTTCCTGCAGAGAGTGTCTGTATGGGGTCTGAGCTATCAGAAAAACGTGTAATGCCCCTTCCTTTATTTCTTTCATCTTTTAACCATTCCTATACAATTTTTGGCCAACCAGCCTCAGCATTACTCATGGAACTGGCCACTCCTGGCACACCTGTTGACAAAGAGAGGCCCAAATTTCTCTTCTAAAGAAAACCAGTGCAAACCAGAGTGAAGGAACTCAGGGCATGTCAGGGTCCCACGTTCCTGAGAATCAATGACCATCTGCATTTTTGTTTAGAGAGTTTAAATTCACACCCAGGACATTTTTGGTAGGACTTTTACTGATTCAAATAAAACAGACTCCAGTATGGGAAGTACTAACAAACAAAAACAAAACAAGTAACTCTTCTCACTGAAAATTTAAAGTTTTTCTCCGAAAAAAAATTACGTCCATTTGGGATGACAACTTTGACAGACTTGCCTAATTGCTACCTCATAAAGAAAAGGGATTTTCTTTGTTACAGCTGATCCCCCTCAAGAAAACACCTCCAAAATACAACAAAAAGGTCCATACCCAGTGCCACTCGTGCAGCAGAAGCATCATAGTTGATCCAGAAGGAGACCCAGGACAGGATGGTGATGAGGATGGATGGCATGTAGGTCTGCAGGATGAAGTAACCAATGTTCCTCTTAATCCTGAAACTCAGGGATAAGCGCAGATACGAACCTGCCAGTGAGACATCAAAGGAGGACGTGGGGTGAGAGGAGGGCAAGGCTGGATTTGTGCTAAGAGCTTTGGTTAGGAATTGAAATTTTATTTGGAAAAAGTTCTCAAGAGGCAGGAATAATGAGAAATCTCCTGGTTTCTGCAGCTGGTTTTGCAGACTGGTCAGCTTTTGCAAGGGGTCCCTTCAGAATCTGCTCAGTTGCCCCGGAGTATTAAGAAGAAAGGAAATTCTACCTAAGTGACATTATTGTATTATATCAGCCATCATGGGAGAAGGGCTGTTCAGCGCTGGAATTGCTGTTATGGTGCCAACCAATATGATAGAGGCTTACACAGGAGACTTTAACCTTATATTTGGGTGCCACAAGATGATTTTCCAATGTTTCATGTGCCAGCTCTGCCTCCAAACAGCAATGAAGATCTGAATCATATTTTTCCCATGCTGTTCTAAAAACGGGTTATGGTCAGACTGGGCAAATTCATATGCAAATAGAGTACTGTTAGTTAATCTGAAGGTCTCTTTTTTATTATTTTCAAGTTGTTGCAACTTCCTCCTAATCTTTCAGCAAACCTAATGAGGATAGTGAGGACAATAAGTACTCTTTACAGTCCTTCCACTGCAGCAGGCTAATTTTGACAGGGACAAAGCAGTGCCTCTTTCATTGCTGTGAGACAAAGTCCAGGTAATTTCTCCTGCCCACCTCTGTCCCTCAGGCAACACAGGAGCCTGAAATATGGGTGTAATCCTGGCTGGCAGCTAAAGTAACAAGAAAACAGCAGTTTTAAACCATCAAGGATGTAGACTAGAAAAAAGGAGGTATTGTTCTCTCACCACCATGTGCCACCTGTATGGCTTGAACACAATATTTCACCAGTCTTTTTTTGACAGATGTGTGCTGTGCTGTTTTGGCAGTGAACTCCACCTCAGACCAGCAACCAAAAATCCAACCCCCTCCAACTTTCCAGCTGGCAGCATCTGAATCGTCCCAGGTATTCTCTCCAAACCTTTTTATTGCCATGTACAGATGGGTTTGCATCATTTCATAGCCCACTTGCTCCTCAATGGATATATTTTCTCCTTACTTTTGCACCTACATTAGCTTGGATACCCAGATGTAAACCACATAAAACATCAGATGAAGGCTGAGAACCTTCTGAAGAGGTTCTGAGCTCACTCATTATTTTGACTAAGAAACGGGAAAGAAAAATTGCAGCAGGGAAAATGATCCGGAAAGTCTTTGAAGAGAAGCAGACAAAAAAAAAAAAAAAAAAAAAAAAGAAAGAAAGAAAGAGAAAAAAATTGAAAAAAGGAAAGCTGGTGGGTGCAGAAGACACTTTTTTTTTCAGAGGAACCCCAAGGTGAAGATCCTAAGTTAGTGCCCCAGCAATCAGAGTGATTCAGCCCAGTGGATCAGCAGCAGCTTTGCCCATTCCATGCATCCCTTCCCCAGAGACTCACCAGTGGTGAAGACCACTTCCCTGCTGACCAGCCTCTGCTCAATGATGGTGAACTGGGGCAGCTCCAGCACCTCCATCCCCGTGACAGCAGAGTCGTTCCCTTGCCAGAAGAAGACAATGTCATCCACGGTGTAACCATCTGCAGGGAGGAAGGAGCACACAGGGAGAGCTGAGCTGACAGGCTGGACCAGAGGACACCTCCATTTGTAATAAGGTGATCTGGAAAAGGATCCAAAAGAAAGCCCACACCAAGCCTAGCCTCTCCCTGCTGATGTGCTTTCCTTCTTCAGCTGAGCTTGGCAATACAGTCCCCAGGAGAAGAGGAAAAATTGGCCAGAAAGCTCCCATTTCTGGCTAGAATTCAGAGCAAATGTGAGGTGTGGCCCATCCAGCCTGGACTTGCACAATGTGATCTCCATGGCTGACATGGCAGGGACTTGTGCACCAGGAGCCTCTGTCAAATGCACCAAACACAGCATTTTGCTTTTTAAAAACTGCCTCCTTTTACCAGGAGGGGGAGATCACACAGTACAGACTGGTGGGACTGGGGAAACAGGGCAGCTCAGTATTAAAAATTCCCAGAGAAGAGAAGATCTACAGCAGCAGTTGAAAAGAAGTTTGAAGATCAGAGCACCTCCCTTTTCTAAGTCCTTTCAGTCAAAATTCAGATCCAAGAAGTGAACAGAGTCTCTGAGGCTGGGGGCTGTTTTACCAAGTGCTGGCTGAGAAGAGCACTGATGAGAGAAGAGAGAAAGGGGAACCAGCCTCAAATATTCATCCCTTACATTTCAGGGTCATGGGCTTGCTAACTCAGCCAAGCTTCTTGCTTTAACCCCAAAATATACGTGGCAGACAGAGCTGCCTGGGCTGGAAATGTGACCCCCAAGTGCTCTGGACTCGTGGGGAATGAGGGCCAGGGCATGAAACCATGAAAACCTTCACCCAGCAGTGCCATGTCCACAGCCCTGCCCTGTCCTTGGGGCAAGGACTCATCACAACTTGAAAATCACTTGCGTGTTTTGAAGCCCTTTGGCTGTAGCTGCACAAGGGTGGCCTCAGATTCTCAGTGAAGCTTCCTGGGAGCAGTAAGAAATGGCCAGGCTTTGGTGCAGCTCAGGGCAAGGCTGCCTTCAGAGCATGAGCTGCCCACAGACAGCTTGTGTTCGCACCTGCACTGCAGCACAGCAGCCTGCTCTGCCACCCAGCCTGGCACACAGGCCATGCCAGGTTCACAGCCACTCATGTGAGTGCCACCACAGCCAGCACCTGGCACCAGGGCAGTGAGGAGCTGCTGAATGCAGCACCAAGGAGAAATTCCTCTCTGGGGACTAAGGGTTACCCCAGACCAGAGGTGAGCCTCTGAGGACAGAGTCATCCTTAAGCTGCTCAGTGCACAAAGGGCTCAGCAGTCTGCTCTGATCTCACAGCTGACCCTGCTTTGAGCTGCAGGCTGGACTAGAGACACCCTGAAGTGCCCTCCCAAATGGAATTATTTGATGACTGTGCAGTCTCCAAGCTCACATCCTGCACACTCACTCATGGGTGCCAAAATACAAACCCAATCTTCCAAATGCCATGCCACATCTGCTTCTGATGGAAATCAGCTAAGCCAGGGCTCCTCCTCCTCCCCCAGCTGGCATGTTCCTGGTCCCAGAGTTGTAAACCCTCACACCTCTGAGCCCACAGGGTTTCAGAACCCTTGGTTATCCTCCTCACACACCAGCCCTGTGCACAGGAGTGTGTTTGCATCACTCAGCCCCAGGGCTGGAACCAACAGGAAACACCCAGGTCCCCCCCAGTCCCCCTGATTCCAGCAGCTCCAACACCCTCCCAGCTCAGGAACACTGTGTGTGATCTCACAGGGGAATTCCTCTACCGTCAGGGTCCTGTGCTTGTTCCCAGTTTCTCCACGAGGTTCCCAAGCCCTTTCCCCCCAGCATTCCCCCTCTGCAGAGGTGAACCCAGCCTGGGAACAATTCACCTCTGCACCTCCTTAGCAGCAAACAAACCACACTGAGCTATTGGCATTTCTCACTCACTGCGCAACATCTGCTCCAGCCCTTGAACCACTTTTCAGCATCTTCCCTCAACCTCTTCTGATTTCTCAGCTTCCTCCCTAAATTTTGGCACCCAAACCCAGCCAGAGCCCGTTTCCCCCTCTCAGTGACACGTTCAGAGGCCAATGAATGCCGAGCTCTGACTCACGGCTCCCCTGGTTTATATAACAGGGCTCGCTCCAGCCCTTCCTGCCAGAGCCACGGAGCCTCCCTGAGCTCCCCGTGTGGCTGCAGCCCCTGGGCATGGCCCTGCAGCCCTGCTCACAGCCCAGGGCTCACAGAGCTGAGCTCCTTCCGGATGGATTCCCATTGGGGAGGATTCGAATGCGCAGCCAGCGAAGCCCCGCACGCCGCTATCTTCATCATCCACAAATTTAACAGCAGTGACTTCAAATTTACTTCCTGATCAGCAATGAAAATGTCAAATTGCAGTAACTAATTTTAGGAGATCTCACAGTTAACTAGCTCTATTCCATTTATTCTATGACCTGCTGGTGTTGGGTAGCAATTTCTGTATTTTAATTTTTTTTTTTATTATGGCATTATGCAATATGAAATCGAGCGTGTTTTTCATGAAGCCATTTTTAAAAAGTGTTTCTAAAGGGAAAGGTTGCTTGGTCTAAAAATAAATGCTTCACTTTGATTTCTAGCTTTAAAGAGAAAACCAAATTTCCATTTTACTTCTAAAAAGTAAACGAACTTTCACAAAGACAAGTCATTTCCATCTGAAATATCGAAAAGTATTGATGTGACGTCTTAAAATGTCAGATTAGCAGTCTGTTTGCAGCCTGCCTCATCAGGTTTTTGTTGGATCCTGGCACACAGATAGGCAGGGTGTACGTGGTGAGTTTTATTTTTGGGGTGGAGGGATGGGATCAACAGGCAGTGCTTATCTCCTACAGGTAAGAGCCCCCAGCTGCTTCCCACACCCAGCACCCTTGCATCAGAAAAGGGCTTTTTCTCTGAGGTTTGGGTCAGTTTTGTTTTTCAAAATACATGGGTTTTATAATCCAGCCCTGATTGATGTTCCAGAGTCAAGTGGAAGCAAAGAAAATGAAGCCCTGCAGATTGAGAATGTGCAAGTGTGTAAAAGACAAAAGCTCTGAGGGAGGAAACAATTGGATCTCCTCATCTCGGCCTGGGTCTCAGGAATACTGTGAGGAAATGTAGCTTTGATGAACAAATTGGCTTGACATGACCCATTAAGAACAAAATCACAACACGGGGAACTGTGGGTAATTCCCTGCCTTCTCTTTGCTTGGTTCTACTGTAAACTGCTCCCAAACTGCTGAGGAGTGGCAGAAATGACAAAAATTACATTCTAGCACTGGTGCATGCAGCAGGACCTCGTTTCCATCCCCTGACCCTCCATGGGTGGGATGGGGAGGGCAGCTCCCAGCCAAGGTGCTTGGGGAGCTCCCTGATGGAAGGAGCAGCTCCCAGATCATTCCTTGATGGAAGGAGCAGCTCCCAAATCATTCCCTGATGGAAGGAGCAGCTCCCAGATCATTCCCTGATGGAAGGAGCAGCTCCCAGATCCCACTTTGATGGAAGGAGCAGCTCCCAGATCATTCCCTGATGGAAGGAGCAGCTCCCAGATCCCTCCCTGATGGAAGGGGCAGCTCCCAGATCCCTCCCTGATGGAAGGAGCAGCTCCCAGATCATTCCCTGATGGAAGGAGCAGCTCCCAGATCGTTCCTTGATGGAAGGAGCAGCTCCCAGATCATTCCCTGATGGAAGGAGCAGCTCCCAGATCCCACTTTGATGGAAGGAGCAGCTCCCAGATCATTCCCTGATGGAAGGAGCAGCTCCCAGATCGTTCCCTGATGGAAGGAGCAATGTCCAGATCTCTCCCTGATGGAAGGAACAGTTCCCAGATCATTCCCTGATGGAAGGAGCAGCTCCCAGATCACTCCCTGATGGAAGGAGCAGCTCCCAGACAATCCCCCTGAGGCTGCACAGGGATTTCTGCTGCTCTGGACAGCCCTGGATGGAACCTGCCGTGCATTTTTATCAGGGAGAGCTGGACCAGCTCTGCCAGCACAGCTGGAAGAGGATTTCCATGGGCACCCAGGGAACATCCAGGCAGGGATGAGGGCTTGGGTGCCACCTCCCACACAGAATGGAGCCAGCCATCAGCAAGGACAGCTTCCTTAAGGCCAAGGGAGGCTTCCCCACCCTCCTGGACTGGTTTTAATGCCCAGCCTGCTGCTAGGGCTCTGTTTTCTCGGGAATTTCCCCCATGGGTTAGGAGCCCGGCGCTGTGGCAGCCCTGGGGGCATCCCCAGGAGCGGGTGGCATCAGGTGGCACCGTGTGGCAGGGGACGTGCCCGAGGCATACGCACAGCTCTCGATCTCCAGCGTGCAGTTCTGCTGGTCCAGCGGGTACCTCCGCAGGTCCATCATGCAGGCGGCCGTGGTGGTGATCCTGAAAGGGAAAGAGGGACAAAAATACAATAAAATTAAAACCAAATAAATTTGTTGTGTCTGCTTTTTTTCTTAGCAAAAAGAAAAAGGAATGAAAGGAGAAATGAAAGGCAGAAGTGAAAGTCAGGCAGCATTTGGGGCCGCTGTTTCCCTGGAAACCAGGGAGATCCGGGGTGGGAGGTGTGCAGGGCGGGCGGCTGGTGCTGCTCACCCCCAGTGGCACGGCACAAACCCTCCGTGACTCACGTCAGCGAGGCAGCATCTCTATCAACGGGCTGGGGAGGGACCCGTGTGCCCGCTCTGCCTCTCCTGGAGAGAGACAAAGAACCCGGGAGGAGACACAGCCCCGGCTCGGGGGGAGAGGAGAGGAGAGGCTGCCAGCGTGGAACAGGGACACAGCAGGCACGTGTGTGTGTGTGTGGGGCTGGGGATGGGCTGGCTCCATCACCCAGCACTGACCTATTGCTGACCACATCATCACCCCCTTCCCTCACAAACTGCCCCAAACCCCCTTATCACAGCCCCCCATCCCCATCGTGCCCACTTTGGTACTGCCAAACCCAAACCCCAAAACCCCAGAGGGCTCTGGCAGAGCCCCCCTGCTCCACAGCCCCACTACCTGTGTGCAAATCATTGTGTAGTCATCAAAGACACTTGGAGGATGTGTGTGGGTTTGTGTGCATCCCCCCCAAAAATAAATATGGGGAGAGGATGAGGGTGTGTGCTGCTTTGGGGTGATGGAGCATGGGGAGGACACAGAGCAGGGAGGTTCAGCTGAGGATGCCAGGAGGGTGTGTGTGTGTGTGTGTGTGTGTGTGGGTGTGTGTGTGTGTGTTGTACCTGAAGGAATGTTTTTGTACAATATATTGTACATCTCTGGGATGGGGGTTTGGGGCTGGCACAGATGAGGGCATGGGAGGCAGGGACAGAGTTAACTCCCCAGCATGGCAACAGCGCCCTGGAGTTTACAGGCTGCCCCTGTTTCTCACATCTATTGCTCCCCTCACCCTTTGATGCAGTCTTCTCCCTGTGCAATGGATGTGTGTAGAGTGCTGGAGAGGGGGGAGAGATTGCTGCATTCTCCCCCTATTTTTTCAATTAACCATCTGGAAGGCATTAATCAAGCTACACATTTTTTACTATGTAGGCATAACCAGTGAACTGTTAACTAGAAAGCTTTATCTTCTGAGCCCTGTGGCCTGGGAGAGAGAAAAGAGAGGGAAAAAAAGGAAAAAAACAAGAAAGCAGGGAGGATGAGATGGCGAACCAGTGAAAGAGATGGGAAAAAAAAAAAAAAAGCAAAACTAAAAAACATCAATGGTAGAAAAAGAGACCAGAAAGGGGGAGAATATGGGAGAAGCTGGGCATAAAATTGGAAATGGGGAGGAGGGGGGAAGAATGTGGGAGGACAGAAGGTGGGAGAGGGCTGCCCCAGTGGGGGTATTGGGGCAGGGGCTATGGCAGGGCAGGCTGGCAGCCCTGCAGAGCTGCTGGCTCTTTAAGAAATCTCGTGTGCTAAATTTATCTTCTCTGCTGTCTGTGAAGTCTGTTTGTAGGAGATGAAGCCTTGAGGAGAGCCTTTGCCACTGCCTGCCGTGCTATAAATAGATCCGAAGAGACGAAGGGAATTTATATATATCCTCACTGGGTCTAGATACAACACTGCAACTGCCCTCTCTCCGAGCAGGGGGCCCAGGCGAGCTCTTAACCCTTTCATCTGTGATGCATTTGGGGTGGAGGAGAAACCTCTGAGGGGGGAGAAGGACAACAGGACATGAACCACTTAAAAAATTACCACCGCAGCCTTGCCCTTGCTTTCACATCCTCCCAGCTGGGCAGCTCCAGCAGGGCAGCTGGGAACACAAAGCCTGTCCCACCCTAATCCTGCTGCTGTGCTGGGGTAACTGGGCATTGGGGTGCTGGGGGGAAGCAAAAAGGGGAGCTCAACCTTGGCAGGAAAGGCCAAGGTGGGAGGCGCAGGGAGCAAGGAGTGGGATGAGTCATCCCCCAGTGCTGCACACAGCATCCACTCCCTGGATTATGCTGCACCCCTGGGAAATCGTGGCCACAAACGCGCTTCTCTGTTTTCCCTAAAGTGTGAGATGCAAAAAAAATGTATTAAATGAAAATTTTCCACCCCATTTGTGGAGCACCCCCGGGCTAAAAAACCTTTGCACAGTGTCCATCCCAAAATCGCAGCCTGGCTGGCTGGCTTGGCTGCAGGAAGGACATGCAGGCTGCTCTGCTCACACAGGGACCCTCTCGCCAGGATTTGCTGATCACCTGCAGTGCTGGTTGGAAATGCAGAGCGTGACACAGTGAGATATGGCTGCCACACTCCATGCACCAAACCCTGCTCACGCTGGCAGCTGGCATAAATCCACGGCCACGCCAATGATTTCTGCAAGATCACACCAATTTGTATCAGCAGAGATTTACATCAGGGCAGAATTGAGCCCTGTTGATTCAAAAGGAAGGGACAGGTAGGACAGAAAGGAGAAAAACAAGATTAAGAGGACATTTGTCCTCAAAAAGCCTGATAATTTCTTTGCAATTAAAGGGCAGCTGTACCCATACTGTGTGGCTCAGCATCCTCCAGAGATACCCCAGTTAGATGCAGATCCCAAACTCCAGGTGATCTGCCCATGTAAAGCTGCTTGGGCAGGTAAAATGGGAACCATGTCAGGCTTTGCTGTGGTTTTTGAGCAGAGGTGGCGCAGCCATCCCCAGCTGTGCCAGGCTGTAGCCACCTGCTTGTCCAGAGAATTCCACCTGCAGTGCCTGCCCAGCCTGGGGACACCAGCACTGCAGAACCAGCAGGTGTGGGGGCCTGGGTGGAGCAAGATCCAAGAGGCAGCTGGTCTGGGGCACCAGAACCAGCTCAGGTCCTGCCTCTGGGCTTCCTAAACCCTGATAAACCAACCCAGCTTGGGGTAAAGCAAGAGGTGTATCCCAGAGAGGATGGAGGTGTTTGATTCTTTAGACTTCAGATCTTATGAAGCATCCTGGACACCAACTTCCCTTTGATAGACCCTGCTTGAAGAGTTAACTTTCACCTGCTCCTAGAGGGGCCAAGGAGAGCTTTCTCCAGCTGCTTTGGTGGCTGTGTGGGACAGGTGGGACTCATGGAGGGATAAGAGGCTTCACACACCTCTTGCAGTCAAAGGGGAGCATGAGCAAATCTCAGCCACCCCAGTGACATTTTGGGGTCACAGCGTGTGCCTCCTCTGGTGCAGAAGGCCACAGGACCAACCTTTGCCTCATTCTTTCACGCGTATAAATGTACTACCTTGATAGACTCTGAGCTGTTGTGTGAAGAGACGGGTTTGCTTGGCACATGGGAGACTGCATGGGGAGGACAGGATAGGGGATGGATGAGGGGGGTGACCCTCAGGAGCTCCTGTCTCAACAGGCTTAAGAGAAAATCAGGGTGGAAGGAAAGTAAGAGGTGGAAAAATGAGGAGAGATGATGGCATGAGCACAGCTTGGGAAGGCAGGAGCGGAGATGACAGAGAGGAGAGCAGAAAGCACAGGGTAAGGGAAAGGAGGAGGAGGATCAGGGGATGCACGGGGTAAAGCAGCGTGGAGAGGAAGAGCTGGAGGAGAACGAGAGGTTAAAAGAGGGAAAGCAGAGGAGAGGATACTCACTCAGTGAGCAGGGAAATGAGGAGACAGGGAACAAACCATCTTCCTGTAAACAGCTCTAGACAGAGCACACTGCCTCCAGAAGACGTGAGCACAGTGAAAGGGAGCAGGGAGCGCGGGGACCAGAGGGAACGCCAGGGAAGGATGCCACCTTCCCCGTGGCGCTAGCATGAGGCGCTGGCGCACGGCCAGCCCGTATCTTCTCCCTCCCCCTCCTCCTCTCCTGCTTCTCTACCCACCTCCCTCCCCTTTTAAATTCAGAAATTTGTGTGGTGTGAAATTTCATCTGCTTTGACGGCGATTCACGGAGACACTGCCCGTGGAGGGAGCGGCTCTCCCGCGCCGCGCGCTCAGCGAAGCGTCCAGCGCCTTCCACAATGAGTCCGGCCACCACCATAGCACCCTGCAGCTCCCCTGGCCTCCCCCAGCCCCTGCCCACCCCACAGGCCTCGGGGCCAGCCCCTCACAACATTTACAGCTCCTTCCTCACAAAAAAAACACATCCATGCCCTTGGTTCTCATTGTGTCTCCTGAGATCTGTAGGCGGTTGTGCCATCCAAGTAGCCAAAGCCTGAGTGTCCTGCTACTCCAGTGCACAGCTGGCAGGCAAACACGGGTCATCTGGGGGGACACTGCTGTGGAGGAAGCACCGTGCAGCTCACAGAAAAATAAAAAGAGAAAAAGGAGAAAAGGGACATGGATGAGATGTTGGGCAGCTCGGGCAGGCTGATGGAGATGCCCTTCTCTGCCTGCATTGTGAGTGGATCAAGCACGATACCTCACCCTGGAGGGCACCCTTGCTCCCAGGAGAGGTAGAGACCACCTCTAGAAAAACATCCATAGAGCTCTAAGTCACACAGGGCTAGGTCTGAATGTCTGATTGTCACAATGAGGAAAGCTCTGCCCTCTTGAAGCTGGGATGGCCAGAGCAGATGCTGGCATGGGGAGGGTGGTGCAGCCTCGCCTGCTGCTCTGCACCGAGCCTGGCAGCAGCAGAGCATGGCCCCAGCACAGCTGCAGCTCAAAAGGGAGCACTCAGGTTGCTGCAAACCATCAGTTCTCCACAAATATTTCAGTTCTCTGACATGAACACCACCAGCCATTTCATTCCCCCTCTGATCCTCCTCATCACTGTTTACTTATTAATGGCTTCTTCTGTCTTATTTAGAATGATTATATAAGTGCACGGGCATAGAGCAGCATAGAAGCTGCCATTAAACCCTGCTGCAGTCTAGGGTCTCCTTTCCACCTCCTCCTTTACCCTGGTGCTGGGCACCTTCAGGGGAGCTGCACATTCAGCTCCTGCCCCAGCCACATCTCCCTCTGCTGCAGGCTCTGAACGCTCTTGGCCACCCA